TTCAATTTCCAAAAAATATTTTTTAATTCGAAAAACACGAAAATTTCGGAATGTATGATCTTGTTTTACATTTTATATAATAGCACTTCGTAGGAGCGCTCATGACACCCCATCGTTTATAGGGAACTTTTCAACTAAAAATTTAAAGAATTAAACATTTTCTTACAATACTAACTTGTACATGGAACAAATTCAATAGGAGAGATAGCTTTGTATAGTTTTAGAAAATTTGGATCATAACTTGTTGTTTAAAGTTTCACAAACGACTCTAAACATTCATTTGTTAGTTGTCTCACATACAAAAGAATTAAACAAAGTTGAAATGTTGTGTATATTGTAGAAACGTTTGCGAATTGTCTTGTTAGTTTTAACAAACACTGCTCGTTAATCTATTCAGAAATATTTTAATATATGTATATATATTTTTTTATAAAATAAAAAAATTGCATATGAAACTAAAGAGCCGTAGCTCCACATCCAAAGAGCCGCATTTGGCTCGCGAGCCGTAGTTTGCCGACCCCTGGTCTAGTCTAGTAGTCTAGTCTAGTCTAGTCTATAGTCTAGTCTCTAGTCCTATAGTCCTAGTCTATAGTCCTAGTCTATAGTCTAGTCTATAAGTCTAGTCTATAGTCTAGTCTATAGTCTAGTCTATAGTCTAGTCTATAGTCTTAAGTCCTAGTCATAGTCTAGTCTATAGTCTAGTCTAATAGTCTAGTCTATAGTCCTAGTCTATAGTCTAGTTCTATAGTCTAGTCTATAGTCTAGTCTATAGTCTAGTCTAATAGTCTAGTCTATAGTCTAGTCTATAGGTCTAGTCTATAGTCCTAGTCTATAGTCTAGTCTAGAGTCTAGTCTATAGTCTAGTCTATAGTCTAGTCTAATAGTCTAGTCTATAGTCCTAGTCCTATAGTCTAGTCTATAGTCTAGTCTATAGTCTAGTCTATAGTCTAGTCTATAGTCTAGTCTATAGTCTAGTCTATAGTCTAGTCTATAGTCTAGTCTATAGTCTAGTCTATAGTCTAGTCTATAGTCTAGTCTATAGTCTAGTCTATAGTCTAGTCTATAGTCTAGTCTATAGTCTAGTCTATAGTCTAGTCTATAGTCTAGTCTATAGTCTAGTCTATAGTCTAGTCTATAGTCTAGTCTATAGTCTAGTCTATAGTCTAGTCTATAGTCTAGTCTATAGTCTAGTCTATAGTCTAGTCTATAGTCTAGTCTATAGTCTAGTCTATAGTCTAGTCTATAGTCTAGTCTATAGTCTAGTCTATAGTCTAGTCTATAGTCTAGTCTATAGTCTAGTCTATAGTCTAGTCTAAAGTCTAGTCTATAGTCTAGTCTATAGTCTAGTCTAAGTCTAGTCTAAAGTCTAGTCTAAAGTCTAGTCTATACTCTAGTCTATAGTCTAGTTATAGTCTAGTCTATAGTCTAGACTATAGTCTAGTCTATAGTCTAGTCTATAGTCTAGTCTATAGTCTAGTCTATAGTCTAGTCTAAAGTCTAGTCTATAGTCTAGTCTATAGTCTAGTCTATAGTCCTAGTCTATAGTCTAGTCTAAAGTCTAGTATATAGTCTAGTCTATAGTCTAGTCTAAAGTCTAGTCTATAGTCTAGTCTAAAGTCCAGTCTAAAGTCTACTCTATAGTCTAGTCTATAGTCTAATCTAAAGTCTAGTCTATAGTCTAGTCTAAAGTCTAGTCTATAGTCTAGTCTATAGTCTAGTCTATAGTCTAGTCTATAGTCTAGTCTATAGTCTAGTCTAAAGTCTAGTCTATAGTCTAGTCTAAAGTCTAGTCTATAGTCTAGTCTATAGTCTAGTCTATATTAGTCTAAGTCTAGTCTATAGTCTAGTCTATAGTCTAGTCTATAGTCTAGTCTAAGTCTAGTCTATAGTCTAGTCTATAGTCTAGTCTAAGTCTAGTCTATAGTCTAGTCTATAGTCTAGTCTATAGTCTAGTCTATAGTCTCAGTACTGTAGTCTAGTCTATAAGTCTAGTTAGTAAGTCTAGTCTCTAGTCTAGTCTTCGTATAGTCTCTAGTCTAGTCTATAGCTCTAGTCTATAGTCTAGTCTATAGTCTAGTCTATAGTCTAGTCTATAGTTCTAGTCTATAGTCTAGTCTATGTCTAGTCTATAGTCTAGTCTATAGTCTCGTCTATAGTCTAGTCTATAGTCTAGTCTATAGTCTAGTCTATAGTCTAGGTCTATAGTCTAGTCTCTAGTCTAGTCTATAGTCTAGTCTATAGTCTAGTCTATAGTCTAGTCTATAGCTAGTCTATAGTCTAGTCTATAGTCTAGTCTATAGTCTAGTCTATAGTCTAGTCTATAGTCTAGTCTATAGTCTAGTCTATAGTCTAGTCTATAGTCTAGTCTATAGTCTAGTCTATAGTCTAGTCTATAGTCTAGTCTATAGTCTAGTCTATAGTCTAGTCTATAGTCTAGTCTATAGTCTAGTCTATAGTCTAGTCTATTAGTCTAGTCTATAGTCTAGTCTATAGTCTAGTCTATAGTCTAGTCTATAGTCTAGTCTATAGTCTAGTCTATAGTCTGTCTATAGTCTAGTCTATAGTCTAGTCTATAGTCTAGTCTATAGTCTAGTCTATAGTCTAGTCTATAGTCTAGTCTATAGTCTAGTCTATAGTCTAGTCTATAGTCTAGTCTATAGTCTAGTCTATAGTCTAGTCTATAGTCTAGTCTATAGTCTAGTCTATAGTCTAGTCTGTAGTCTAGTCTATAGTCTAGTCTATAGTCTAGTCTATAGTCTAGTCTATAGTCTAGTCTATAGTCTAGTCTATAGTCTAGTCTATAGTCTAGTCTATAGTCTAGTCTATAGTCTAGTCTATAGTCTAGTCTATAGTCTAGTCTATAGTCTAGTCTATAGTCTAGTCTATAGTCTAGTCTATAGTCTAGTCTATAGTCTAGTCTAGTCTAGTCTATAGTCTAGTCTATAGTCTAGTCTATAGTCTAGTCTATAGTCTAGTCTATAGTCTAGTCTATAGTCTAGTCTATAGTCTAGTCTATAGTCTAGTCTATAGTCTAGTCTATAGTCTAGTCTATAGTCTAGTCTATAGTCTAGTCTATAGTCTAGTCTATAGTCTAGTCTATAGTCTAGTCTATAGTCTAGTCTATAGTCTAGTCTATAGTCTAGTCTATAGTCTAGTCTATAGTCTAGTCTATAGTCTAGTCTATAGTCTAGTCTATAGTCTAGTCTATAGTCTAGTCTATAGTCTAGTCGATAGTCTAGTCTATAGTCTAGTCTATAGTCTAGTCTATAGTCTAGTCTATAGTCTAGTCTATAGTCTAGTCTATAGTCTAGTCTATAGTCTAGTCTATAGTCTAGTCTATAGTCTAGTCTATAGTCTAGTCTGTAGTCTAGTCTATAGTCTAGTCTATGGTCTAGTCTATAGTCTAGTCTATAGTCTAGTCTATAGTCTAGTCTATAGTCTAGCCTATAGTCTAGTCTATAGTCTAGTCTATAGTCTAGTCTATAGTCTAGTCTATAGTCTAGTCTATAGTCTAGTCTGTAGTCTAGTCTATAGTCTAGTCTATACTAGTCTATAGTCCTAAGTCTATAGTCCTAGTCTATAGTCTAGTCTATAGTCTAGTCTATCTAGTCTATAGTCTAGTCTATAGTCTAGTTCTATAGTCTAGTCTATAGTCTAGTCTATAGTCTAGTCTAAGCTAGTCTATAGTCTAGTTATAGTCTAGTCTATAGTGTCTATAGTCTAGTCTAGTCTATAGTCTAGTCTATAGTCTAGTCTATAGTCTAGTCTAGTAGTCCTAGTCTATAGTCTAGTCTATAGTCTAGTCTATAGTCTAGTCTATAGTTCGTAGTCCTATAGTCTAGTCTATAGTCTAGTCTATAGTCCTAGTCTATAGTCTAGTCTATAGTCTAGTCTATAGTCTAGTCTATAGTCTAGTCTATAGTCTAGTATATGTCTAGTCTATAGTACTATAGTCTAGTCTATAGTCTAGTCTTAGTCTAGTCTAGTTCTAGTCTATAGTCTAGTCTATAGTCTAGTCTATAGTCTAGTCTATTCTATAGTCTAGTCTATAGTCTAGTCTATAGTCTAGTCTATAGTCTAGTCTATAGTCTAGTCTATAGTCTAGTCTATAGTCTAGTCTAGTCTAGTCTAGTCTAGTCTATAGTCTAGTCTAGGCTATAGTCCTAGTCTATAGTCTAGTCTATAGCCTAGTCTATAGTCTAGTCTATAGCCTAGTCTATAGTTTAGTCTATAGTCTAGTCTATAGTCTAGTCTACAGTCTAATCTAAAAAGTACTCTCTCTATTATAAGTTAGTGCTATTTCAAAATTTCAATTTCCCATGCCTGATTGAAAATGTTGATTCTACCCCACTGCGCAGTAGTGTTGATTTATATCAATAACTAATCCGTCTGATAAAGAAACTTAAACTCGCTACAGAAAAACCAGTTTTATCTAAATTTCTATTTATGATAATCCATTAAACTATCACTTTTCCAACTGGGTTAAAGTTTTAGTTTCATTCGTTTTAGTTGCTTATTTTTCCATTTTCTTTCTACTTGCATTAAATATTTTATTGATTTGTTTTTGTTCTATTGTTGCAAAGTTCTTCGTAGTTGTTTGTAAGATTTAAACAATAGATTTTTTTTTATTATATTCATAACGAATTTCCGTTTGTGAATAAATTGAAAATATGTATTAAATTTTTTGTTGTTTTTTCTATATTTTTCCCTCGTAAATGCACTACTTTGTGCAACAACAGCAAGTTGCAATTCTGTTTTTTTTTTTTTTGTTGCTTACGGTCTTTGTATTTGAAAATGGGTTTTAATTAAAAACTGTGAATAAATCTTTGTTGCACAAAAAAATGCAAGAGGGTTGTGAGAGAAGTTTTTTTTTTAAGATATTAAGTTAAATAACTTTTGCTCAACAGCCTCGTGTTTTAATATCATTTTGTGGTTAACATTACTTTTTTTCTATATTTTAAGGAGCTTTTAGCAAAATTGAAATATAACATGTTTTTTTTTATTGCCCATGTCTTGCATGTGGTTGTTGTATGCTGCACATAAAACCGAATATTATATGAATGAACTTTTCTTCTTTTTTTATGTATTTTGCAATATTTTCAATGTCTTGCGTTTTGGTTTCTTGTTTGTTGCAGGTTTGAAGAAATTTTTGGCTCAATATCCTTCCATTTTTCTTGTGGACGGCGATTACGTGCAAGTGAATTGTTATCAACATTCCAATTCGGATGATGGCAGCTACGGTGGCAGACGTGATTACATTAAAGAGGCTAAAGACTATTTTAAAAATAAATTATTGCAATATGGCGTTGGTGTCGAGGTACCAGTGCGCAGTCTATTGGGTCATAGATCACAAGCATCACCACAAGTGAGACATATATCAGGTAATGTAATATAGTTTTCAAGTAACAACTAGAATTAGTAAATAATGTTGTTTTGTTTTTGCATTTATCAACAGGCCAACACATTAAAGAGTTTACGGAATTCTTGTCGAAACATACCGATACCTTTACGGTGGTAGACGATCATGTGACCTTAGTTGGATGCGAAGATATGGAAGAATTGCCGGCTCGAGAACGTTTGCATTTGCCGCAAACCAATATCGATACTCGAGGTACACAGCAAATGTTGGATTTCTTTGCTCAGTGCATAGAGCTGAAGGGACCCATGACAGTGGATCAACTTTTCCACTTGGTCACCACCAAATTCCCCCAGGAACAATGGTTGAGAATGTTTAAGACTCCCAGCGATTTGATGACATTTTTGCGTTTGTTTTCCGATTGCTTTCACATACAAGCCAATCTAGTCACTCTTCTACAGAAACCCAAACTTAGTGATTCACACATACAACAGTCTCAAGCTAAATCCCGAGAGCAATACAATGCTATGAATAATAATCGCAATAATCAGCAAAACAATCAAGCCAACGATAAACAGGCGCAACAACAGCAGTCGCAGACAACACCCCAGCAAGTGAGTGCTGTGCAGCAGCGTTTACTCTCGCCTGCTTTGCGCAACAATAGTTCTCAACAAAATGCCAATACGAATAATAACAACAATAATATTGCTTCACCCAATTTCAAATTGAATGCTCCCGTTTCTTCGCATGTCTCGGGAAACGGTGATTTGTCACAAAATCGTTCGGAACCCAATTCGGGTTTCGACAGCTATATACCCATATCCGAAATGAAATTGGAAAATCTATGTGAACGCAACTATCCCACACCCAATCAATGCTCCTCCTATGGAGGCGGGCACAACAATCAACAACAACAGCAGCCAGCAGGTGCCAATCATACACAAAATCCACCTGCTATTACTTTGCCGCCCCAACCGCCCACAGAGCGTTTAAATAGTGCCAATCAAACTTTAAAGCAGCGTATCAACAACTTAGTCATACGCACTTTAGCCGAAAACTACGAGAAAGACAAACAATCTTTAGCCAATCAACAGGCTGGTTCTGTTGGCTACAATCCCCAAAACTCACCCCACAACAGTCCAAGTCACAATGCCAATTCTGTCGGCCATAATTCAACTAATAATTCTCCTTACACAAATACTCCTAGTCATAATTACTTCGTTGGTGATACCTGGAAAATTAAGGTTCTACAGAATACCAGTGTCATTGCCAACATTAAGCAGTCGCTGTTTGTTACGGAAGCCATGTTGAAGTTTGCCCAACAAAACCCAAATCAATCGATTGTCATTTCGCTGGATTGCGAGGGCATTAATTTGGGTGTCAAGGGTGAGATTACCTTAATAGAGATTGGCACTACACGAGGCGAAGCATTTATTTTCGATGTGCGCACTTGTCCCGAAATGATTAATGATGGCGGTCTGAAGGCCTTGCTGGAGCATGACAATGTCATTAAGGTGGTGCATGATTGTCGCAATGATGCCGTCAATTTGTATTTACAGTTTGGTATTCTATTGCGTAATGTTTTCGATACACAGGTGAGTAGTGGTTTAATATTTCTTGTAGGTTTCTGTTTAAATCTATTAATGTATGATTTTTTCTGCTTCCAGGCTGCCCATGCTATTGTTCAATATCAGGAAAATGGCAAGCAAGTGTACAAGGCCAAATACATTTCATTGAATTCATTGTGTGAACAATACAATGCTCCCATTAATCCCATCAAGGAGCAGCTAAAACAAATCTATCGTCGTGATCAAAAGTATTGGGCTAAACGTCCTTTAACTCGTGAAATGTTACTCTATGCTGCCGGAGATGTATTAGTCTTAATCAATGATCAATTATATGGCAACTTAACAAGGTTTGTTAGTTCTTCAAATACATATAAAGTGGGGTCTAGAGATTTCCAACTGGAAATTAATGTACAAATTTCTTTTTTTTCCCAATTACAGACAAATCAAACCAGAAAATTTGCAATTATTTTCTGAACTTTGTACCGAACAAATATTAATGCATATCAAACCAAATGAAGTTAAAATACGCAAAAAGCAACGTAAAATAAGTACTGAAGTATCGGATCTCAAAAATAAATTGGCCCAAACAAATAAGAGTATTGTATTGTCCAATAGGGAAATACGTTTATTAAGGTAAGTATCAAAAACCTTAAATAAAACCAAGCAGAATCCTATGCTTAGTTATAAAAACTCTTCACTTTTCTTTTATAAAGATATATGGACTTGACGGAAGATGAAAAGGAACGTTTGAAGGGCTACTATAAGGTAGCTAAGAAACTGGAGAAAATGGAATCTTCAGGACAGCAAAATAAGTAATTTTTTTTTTTGAGTTCCTCAACAATAAGAAAATTTTATAAATTTTTTGTTTTTCGTTTCTTAAATAGAGATCAAAGTGACTCTGAGGATGAGCAGGAGGTCAATGAAAATGACAATTTCCCTAGTTTGGATTCAGTGCCATCCGATAACTCTTTGACTGGCACATTTTCGCCACGTTTTAGCTCGGAACCACCCAGTTTAACTGAATCCATGCAAATGATGGATGAAATCTTATCAAATCAATCTATGGATCGTGTGGCTAAAATTGATAAATTGGAAGCAATTCTATCGGCTGTGACTTTATTGCCCAGTGATCAAGTAGGTGTATTTTATTTTTTGGATTGTTTCTTTAAATATTAATGCAATTGATTTTGTTGTTTCTAGATTATTACATCTAACTCTATGCAGGATCAATTGGGTACAACAATTGCTACCACGGATAATCTACAAATCGTTAGAGAGAAAACGAAAAAGTAAGTGAATAGTTAAGATTTGAGTAAATCCCCAAAACTGATATTTTGAACCATAATTTTGGATGTATCCCAAACATATAGTTCTTTACCTGTTAGTCCATCAAGTAAATGTATGAAATTATATTCATAGACTAGTCTATAGACTAGTTCCTAGAATAGTCTATCGACTATTCCATTGGGTTGTCAATAGAGTAGACAATATGACCTAGACTATCCCAAAGTCTGAGTAATATAATCCATAGTCTAGCATATAAAATAGTCCGTAGACTATTCAATAGACTTGCCAATATACCAGGCAATATGGAGAAGTTTATCGACTAGTCAATGAACTAATGGTCCGCAGACTAGATAAAATACTAGTCCATAGGCCAGTACATAAACTAATCAATAGACTGGTCCTTAGGCAAGTCCATAGACTGGCGCATAAACTAGTCTATAGACTAGTCTATTAACCAGTCTATTGACTAGTCTCTGAATCAGTCTTTTGAATTGTTTATTTACTAGTCTATGGATCAGTCTATTGATTAGTTTATGTACTAGTCGATGGACTAATTTACTAACTACTAGTTTATGGGCTATTCTATTCTATTATCTATGGACTAGTCTATTGAATAGTCTTTTGATTAGTCTATGAACTAGTTTATTGACTAGGTTCGCAGACAAGACAATATACTAGTTCATAGACTGGTTCACAGATCAGTCCATAAACTAGTCCACAGGCTAGTCCATAAACCAGTGCACATATTAGTCAATAAAGTAGTGCACAGACTAGTCAATAAACTAGCGCACATATTAGTCAATAAACTAATCCATAGACTAGTCAAGCTGGTCCATAGACTAGTACATAGATTAGTCAAAAGACTAGTCCATAGATTAGTCAAAAGACTAGTCAAAAGACTAGTTCATAGACTAGTCAATAGACTAGTCCATAGACTAGTCAAAAGACGGGTCCTGAGACTAGTCAATAGAATAGTACATAAACTAGTAAATAGACGAAACCATAGACTAGTCTATTGACTACTAGTGGAGTAGACAATAAACTGGTCAATAGACTAGTTACTATTTCCATGACTGGTCCATAGACTAGTCAAAAGGCTGATCTATAGACTAGTTAATGTACTGTTCAAAAGACAATAGACTAGTTCATAGACTGTTCCACAGACTAGTCCACAAATTAGTCCACAGACTAGTCCATAAACAAGTCCATAGGGTAGTCAATAAACTAAACCATATACCAGTCTATTGACCACCAGTGGTCTGTTCAATATAATAGTCAATAGACTTGTCCATAGACTAGTCAATAGTCTAGTACATGGATAAGTACATTGACTAGTAAATAGATTTGTCAATACTCTAGTACATAGACTAGTAAATATATTAATCCATAAAATAGCCCATATAATATATTGTGGCCTAACCTATAGAATAGTTTATACTAGTCAATGCACTGGTCAATAGTTGATAACATCGGTTAGTTCCATTTTAATAATTTTTTCTTAATTTCTCTCTTTAACTAAAATCGTAGCATGAAAAATTGTAACTGCCATGGTGAGGCAAGAAGTACTACTCCCACCACCAATACACGATCGGTGAATTCGGATAAGGGACAGGTGAAAATGATCGATGCAGCATCACAAACTTTAAGTACTGGAGATATTGTTATAACGAAAATCATATTTGAAGATGAACATGAAAAGGCCAAAGAAAAAGTTATGACTTCATCGCCAAAACGTAATAATTCATAAAATAATAACAGCAACAAAAAAATGGAAAAAGAGAAACTTAAATTAAAAAAAAAAATTGTAAAAAACAAGAAATTAAAAAAAAAAACTTGAACACACACACATACATTAATGATTCCTAAATATTAAAAAACAACAAAGAAAAAAATGTTTTATTTAATATTTTTATTTAAACTTTAATTTTGATATCCCTTATATTTTTTTTTCTCCCAATTTATATAATTGTATTATTTTTCCACAAGAAATTAAAAATTTATTCAAAATAATTATTCAAACAATTCTTTAACAAGCAATATATAAAAAAATATAAATTATGTGCCTAAATGTTGAACATTTATTGCTAAAATGAAAACATATTAACAACAACTTAATTAAAACAATTCCTAATATATATTTTTTTTTCTCAATAAAACAAAATTTATAAAATTATTAAACAAAAATTCCTTGATTTTATGTTAAATGTTATTTTTATTTAAAAAAAATATTAAAATTATTATTACTAATTTTTTTGGCTTTAAAAAAATAAAATTTTTATATTTTTATTGTAATTGTTTTAAAGTTTTTTTATAAACATTTCTAATAAAAAAAAGAAAATTAATTATTGTAAAGAATTATTATTATAAAAATTATTAAACAAAAAAAAGTAACTAAAATTAAAAAAAAAACTTATTATTATTCAATTATTCAGTTAATTATTATTAAATATAAAAAACTAAAAAAAAATATATAATAAAAAACTTAAATAAAAACAAACAATATTGATATTTTGGATTTCATATTTTAAGAGCAACGAACGATTATTAAAATCATTTTAATTATGATTTAATTTATATGACTAACGAGTTTCTGTTTGCAAGTGTTAAAAATTCTGCAAGAATTTTAAGTTTTATACATTTAAACAAAGAAAAATGAAAAAATTATTTTCCTAGAAATACTACGATATAAGTGAATGTTCGGGCGATTACAGTTGAACCTTATAGGCTTTTATGCTTAATCCATCAGCAGCTAATTGCTCTGACTACAAATACCAATTTATTGTTGTATTTTACAGTACTCAGTTATAAAATATTCTGGTCCCCATCCGGTACAACCAAATCTCTCACCATCATTACCTTCAAACAGATAAACACAGACAAGATTTGAATAAACATTTAATGAAAAGTGTCTCTGGTCACTATTGTCACTTACATCCAAAAGCTTAAATTAGAAATAATATTTGCCGAAAATTTAATTTACCAAAATATTTTAATTCAGAGACAGAAATTGGAAATGGGAACTTTCAGTATTTAGGACTTAAAGCTCAAACTGCTAGTTCAGTTCTAGTTTAGTTCTAGTTCAATTTAGTTCAGTTCTAGTTCAATTTAGTTGAGTTCAAGTTCAGTTCAAGTTCAGTTCTAGTTCAGTTCAAGTTCAGTTTAAGTTCAGTTCAAGTTCAGTTCAAGTTCAGTTCAAGTTCAGTTCAAGTTCAGTTCAAGTTCAGTTCAGTTCAAGTTCAGTTCAAGTTCAGTTCTAGTTCTAGTTCAGTTCTAGTTCAGTTCTAGTTCAGTTCTAGTTCAGTTCTAGTTCAGTTCTAGTTCAGTTCTAGTTCAGTTCTAGTTCAGTTCAAGTCAGTTCTAGTTCAGTTCTAGTTCAGTTCTAGTTCAGTTCTAGTTCAGTTCTAGTTCAGTTCTAGTACAGTTCTAGTTCAGTTCTAGTTCAGTTCTAGTTCAGTTCTAGTTCAGTTCTAGTTCAGTTCTAGCTCAGTTCTAGTTCAGTTCTAGTTCAGTTCTAGTTCAGTTCTAGTTCTAGTTCAGTTCTAGTTCAGTTCTAGTTCAGTTCTAGTTCAGTTCTAGTTCAGTTCTAGTTCAGTTCTAGTTCAGTTCTAGTTCAGTTCTAGTTCAGTTCTAGTTCAGTTCTAGTTCAGTTCTAGTTTAGTTCTAGTTCTGTTCTAGTTCTGTTCTAGTTCTGTTCTAGTTCTGTTCTAGTTCTGTTCTAGTTCTGTTCTAGTTTTGTTCTAGGTCTGTTCTAGTTCTGTGCTAGCTCTGTTCTAGTTCAGTTCAAGTTCTGTTCTAGTTCTGTTCTAGTTCTGTTCTAGTTCTGTTCTAGTTCTGTTCTAGTTCTGTTCTAGTTCTGTTCTAGTTCTGTTCTAGTTCTGTTCTAGTTCTGTTCTAGTTCTGTTCTAGTTCTGTTCTAGTTCTGTTCTAGTTCTGTTCTAGTTCTGTTCTAGTTCTGTTCTAGTTCTGTTCTAGTTCTGTTCTAGTTCTGTTCTAGTTCTGTTCTAGTTCTGTTCTAGTTCTGTTCTAGTTCTGTTCTAGTTCTGTTCTAGTTCTGTTCTAGTTCTGTTCTAGTTCTGTTCTAGTTCTGTTCTAGTTCTGTTCTAGTTCTGTTCTAGTTCCGTTCTAGTTCTGTTCTAGTTCTGTTCTAGTTCTGTTCTAGTTCTAGTTCTGTTCTAGTTCTGTTCTAGTTCTGTTCTAGTTCTGTTCTAGTTCTGTTCTAGTTCTGTTCTAGTTCTGTTCTAGTTCTGTTCTAGTTCTGTTCTAGTTCTGTTCTAGTTCTGTTCTAGTTCTGTTCTAGTTCTGTTCTAGTTCTAGTTCTAGTTCTAGTTCTAGTTCTGTTCTAGTTCTGTTCTAGTTCTGTTCTAGTTCTGTTCTAGTTCTGTTCTAGTTCTGTTCTAGTTCTGTTCTAGTTCTGTTCTAGTTCTGTTCTAGTTCTGTTCTAGTTCTGTTCTAGTTCTGTTCTAGTTCTGTTCTAGTTCTGTTCTAGTTCTGTTCTAGTTCTGTTCTAGTTCTAGTTCTAGTTCTAGTTCTAGTTCTGTTCTAGTTCTGTTCTAGTTCTGTTCTAGTTCTGTTCTAGTTCAGTTCTAGTTCTGTTCTAGTTCTGTTCTAGTTCTGTTCTAGTTCTGTTCTAGTTCTGTTCTAGTTCTGTTCTAGTTCTGTTCTAGTTCTGTTCTAGTTCTGTTCTAGTTCTGTTCTAGTTCTGTTCTAGTTCTGTTCTAGTTCTGTTCTAGTTCTGTTCTAGTTCTGTTCTAGTTCTGTTCTAGTTCTGTTCTAGTTCTGTTCTAGTTCTGTTCTAGTTCTGTTCTAGTTTCTAGTTCTGTTCTAGTTCTAGTTCTGTTCTAGTTCTAGTTCTGTTCTAGTTCAGTTCTAGTTCAGTTCTAGTTCAGTTCTAGTTCAGTTCTAGTTCAGTTCTAGTTCAGTTCTAGTTCAGTTCTAGTTCTAGTTCAGTTCTAGTTCAGTTCTAGTTCAGTTCTAGTTCTGTTCTAGTTCTGTTCTAGTTCTGTTCTAGTTCAGTTCTAGTTTAGTTCTAGTTCAGTTCTAGTTCAGTTCTAGTTCAGTTCTAGTTCAGTTCTAGTTCAGTTCTAGTTCAGTTCTAGTTCAGTTCTAGTTCAGTTCTAGTTCTGTTCTAGTTCAGTTCTAGTTCTGTTCTAGTTCAGTTCTAGTTTAGTTCTAGTTCAGTTCTAGTTCTGTTCTAGTTCTGTTCTAGTTCTGTTCTAGTTGAATTCTAGTTAATTTCTTGTTTATCTCTTTTAGTTATTTATCATTTCTGCCCCTGTACCTATAAGTGATATAAATTTAAAAAAAATGTCGCTCATACGCACATATTTTTTGGAGTTTTTGTCATGAAACTTTAAATAGTATTAAAAGGGACCAAATCTTGTTAGCGATCCAAATCGATACTATAGCAAAAATTTAAATATAAAATTAATTTAAAAAAAGAATAAAGTAAAAAATGTAAACACATTAAAAAGTACTATTTGAAGAAAGTACCTTTACGACACCATAAAAACTCAACATTTTTGCCATTGTGTTAAATGTACCATTAGATCTTATTAGATAATGTTATTTTCCTGTTTTTATTAACAATTCTAATAGAAAGAACGAATAAAACATATCAATGTCGGGCGAAATAATGTTCCTAGATTAACAACAAATTGTTGCGCAGACCTGCAACTTTACTTACCAAAACTTAAGTTAAATTAACAAAAACATTTTTTTTATTTATTTAAAATTTTCTCTTTATTTTCATTTTTGATAATAAATTTTTTAAAAAATATATATGTATGTATGTAATTAATAAATTTTAGCCAATGTTTAACATTGAATCGAGGAGGAAGCACAATTATAAAAAAATTGAAATTAAAAAAAATATAATAACATATATAATAATTATAAAAAAGAAGATCTATGAAAGAAATTTAAATAATTATATACAACTCAATAACAAATTTTAATAAAAAAAAAAACAAACAAAAAGTGTTAAAAAATTATTACACATTAAAAGCAAAAATTTTAATTTTAAACTTTCTTCTAATTAAAAAAATAATAGAATTTTAGATGATTTTTTCTAACATTAACAATTACAACAGTTTAAAATAAAAATTATTTAAAAAATATGTATATTTTTTGCTTTTAAAGTTATTGGCTATTTAGTTTAATGTTTTTGTTTTTATAATAATTTTGAAAATTTTTAAAAAAAGTTTAAGAAGTGTTCAGATTAGATTAATTTTAAATTTGTGATTTCAATTATTGTTTATGTAAATTTAAATTATTTTTTAAACAGCAAGTGAAAATATTTAAAAAACTTTTAAGCAATTCAAAATTGCTTGAGTTTTAAACGATACGGTGAAAAAAATAAGGGTCGGATTTCTTTGGTCGTTTAGGCAACAATTTTCCAAGAAACAAATCAACTGGTTTCAGAACTTTTAAAACTTTTAAAGACTTTCAAATTAGTAATATTTTGTTTTGAAAAATATTCCCCATTTTATATACTTGATCTCAAATATGCAAATAAAGGTAATAATATTTGGCAGTGGCAAAATTTTTGGTGGGATGCTGCTTTTTTGAGATTGTATATAAAACTCGGGATAACTTTAAATTCCAAATTCTGTGCACAATTGGTTAAGATATGAGTAAACACAATATTTTAACCATATTTTCGGTTATATCTCGAATATATATTTATTTCCTTAGACGTAATGTATACCAAATGAAAGGTCTTTCCGATATCTGACTTTTCATATACATTTTGCCAAAGTATATCTTTCCGATATCTTACTTTTCATAAACATTTTGCCAAAGTATATCTAAATATAGATCATAGCATCAGAATTAGATTCAAAATTTTAAAACAATCATGGGTTTTCTCAGAATTTTGATTATAACTTTGTTATTTATGAACCGATTTTGCTGATTTTAAATAGCAAACTACTCGACAACATGTCTGATAGAATTATATAAGATTTGGAAACCGAAGATATCTACAGCCTTCAGAAAATTTATTTCAATATGTACACAGACAGACGGACGGACGGACATGCAGATGGTCATCGCTAAGTCGACTTCGCTTCTATAAGGATTCAGAATATATATACTTTATAGAATCGCAGGATTAAATTATAAACGGAATAACAAACTTATATTTATATTGTTGGCACGAAGGAAGGCTATAGAAATAAAGAAAATGGGAACTTATTATCTCGAGAATTTTGAAAACAATTGAAAAATTTCAGAAATTTTCGTTTTCATATTTTACTCGATATTAAATCAAATTCCCAGGAAAAATTATATAAGTTCCATAACAAATTATAGAATGCATGATAGTATAGCCTGTATTCGTTCCAGTTTGGCGCTGAGACCAATGATTTTTATTTGAAATTAACACCTTAAGAACTGGTTCTAAAAAGACGGAGACGACACTTCTTCCATGAAAGGGTTTTGGAACTAGTTCTTTATGACTTTTGTTTGAATTTGTTGCCCTTAGCTACTACTTTTAGGGAAGCTTTAGAAAACTTATACAACTTCTTTAGTGCTGTTCTATAACTAGTTCTTTTTCTCGCGATTTTTGTTTCATATTGTTAAGGTTAATAGTTCCAATGAATGTATGTATATCTAGTGAAAAAAGAACTGATTCTTTGAGAACTTTTTAGATGTACTTTAGAAATACAATAATTTTACAGAGTTGTAGTTCTAGTAATGGCGTTCTCACTAATTCCATGGATGCTAGTGATGAATCTAAACTGGTTCTGCTTGCACTCGTTCGAAAACTAGTTCTAATATTACTAGTGGCAAACATTTGCTTCCTTGAAAACTCTTTAGAATCTCAAACAATCTTCCAGAGATCTAGTTTTAGAAGTAATGGCGTAAGCAGTAGTTACACGAATGCTATTAAAGAATCTAAAGAATCTGTTTGCACTCATTCTAGAACTAGTTGTTTTAGAACAAATGCCGATATGAACTAGTCCACGAATGCTATTAAAGAATCTGAAGTAGTTAAATAAATTCTAATATAAACAAGTGTAGTTGTAATGTGTGACTAGTGCCTAAGGGCTGGTTACTTGAAAACTCCTTAGAAGTACTTTAGAATCACAACAATTATCCAGAGAACGAGTTCTAGTCCCATGGATGCTATTAAAGAATCCGAAGTGGTGCACTTGTTCAAGAACAACTTTTTTTAGAACAAATTCTTATATGAGCTAGAACACCACCAGTGATTAATTAGTGCTAAAGAGCTGATTTCTTGAGAACTCCTTAGAAGTACTTTAGAATCACAACAGTCTTTCAGAGAACGAGTTCTAGAAGTCATGGTGATATAACTATGTTGTTCTATGAAAGCTATTCAAGAATCTGAAGTATGTAGTTCTGTTTGCACTCATTTTAGAACTAGTTGTTTTAAAACAAATGCCAATATGAACTAGTGTTTATTAGCGTAATCACTAGTTCCACGAATGCTATTAAAGAATCTGAAGTGGTTCTGTTTGCACACGCACTAGAACTCGTTTTGTAGAATAAATTCTAATATAAACAAGTGTAGTACTAATGTATAACTAGTGCAAAAGGGCTTGTTACTTAAAAACTCCTTAAAAGTACTTTAGAATCACAACAATTCCCAAAGAACGAGTTCTAGAAGTAATGGTGATATCATCAAAAATCTGAAGTAATTCTGTTTGCACTCATTCTAGAATTAGTCACGATATAAAAGAGAATTTGATCAAGAATGTTCCTGAATCGAAAATATTTGCTCTAAAATCGTTTGATATAAAACTTTTTGTAAATTAGAGTTTTCCATTTTCTTTATAAAATATTTTTCTACAGAAAATTTTGTTTATAATTTTTTTTCTTTTGAAAATTGCCTGCAAAAAGGTTTTCTTTATACAGATATTCTGTTCAACAGTGTGCATAATAATTATGTCCATAAGAAATTTCTGTTTCACAGGTGTTTTCTATAAACAATAGAAGTTTTTCAATAGAAAACATTATGTATAAGAGTTTTTCCTATAGTAAAGTTTTTCTATACCATTTTGTATAAATCTTTTTCTATTGAAAATTCGTCTATATAACAGTTCAACTGTAGAAAAATGTTCTATATAATTTGAAATATTTCCATATAGAAACAGTTTTTATATAGAAAAATTTGTGTATAACAGCTTTTTCTATAGTAAATTCTTTATAAACCATGTGTATAACACTTTTTATTTAAAGAATTTCAATTTTATGTAGAACAGTTTTTCCTATAGTAAATTTTTGTATACCACTTTGTATAACAGAGAAATTATAGAAGTTTATAGAAATGATTGTGTATAACACTTTTTTTATAGAAAATTTTTGTGTATAACAGTTTTACTAAAGAAAATGTTTATGTATAACAGTTTTCTCTATAATCATTTTTGTAAAACACTTTGTATTACAATTTTTCTATGAAAATTATTGTGTATAACACTTTTTCTATAAAACATATATCTGTATAACAGTTAGAATATAGAACATTTTATGTATAACAGTTTTTTTATGGTAAAATTTTGTTAATCAATTTACATAACAGCTCTTCTTTACAAATTATTGTGTATAACACTATTTCTATATTAAAAATTGCTGTATAACAGTTTCATATGAACATTTTTAAAACACATTTTCTGCGTAACAGTTATTTCTATAAAAATTGGTATAAAAGTATTTTCTATCGAACATTATTTGAAAGTATTAAAAGTTGCAAGTTAAATTCATTATGATTTAGAATCGTTTTACAGAATAAGAAGCTCTCTTGATTCGAAATTATTACAAATATAGTTTTTTGCAAAGTTTTTTTTTATATTATCACTAACTATTTAATCTATTTCTAAAAATTTTAATATTTTCTTTAAATATTAAATATGCTTTAGCAAAAAATATTTATTTTTTAATAAAAACTATCTATGTTTTGTTTTTGTATTTTTTTTTTTTATAAAAAGTTTTGATAAAAGGAGCTTTCACTAAAACTGTTTTGGTTTCTTCCTCATTTTCTTTTGTTTCTTTCTGTACTTTAACATTTGGTATTTGTTGTTATTCTTTTTCTTAATTTCTTGATAATTTAGTTCTTTTTTTTAACATTTAAAATTTCATAAAATTTTTTGATAACATTTTATAACAAAATTTTCATTACTTTTTTTTTCATTTTAATTTATATATAGTATATGTATGTATGCATTATGTATAAAGAATATATAGTATGTAAATATAAATGTTTATTACATATAATTTTTTAGTATATATATATATTTTTTTTAAATTTTATATTTATAAAAAAATTATATTATTATTTAGTTTTCCTTTAAATATTAGTTAACAATATTGTTAAAATATTATTTATTATTTTTTATAAATTGGTTGTATCTTATAAAGTTTTTTTTTTTATTTCTTGTTTTTAAAAGTTTTACAAAAAATTATTTGAAATTTATTTTTCTTCTTTTTTTTGTATTTAATGAGATCATGTCCTATAACGCATAATTTCGCGTAAAGCATATAATAATTCAGCTTGATTTCGAGCTTCCATTACCATTAAATTGACGTGTACCTGTTACAAAAAAATACAAATCATATGTTAGTTTTATTATTAAAATTATTGGAAGTGTTTAAAACTTCCTACCTTTTCACTGTCCTGCAGTTCAACCATATGTTGTCATAATCTTTAGTGGTAATTCTTTCCGGAAAACAACAGGCAGTTTTTATGAACATCTTTAAAGAGCGATCCAATAACTAGAAAATAAACGGATGTAAAGAAGAGAATTATATTTTTACTTATACATTCATATATATATGTATCGTCTAACTAACTACTACTAATAACTAACTAACTAACTAACTAACTAACTACTAACTACTAACTAACTAACTAACTAACTAACTACTACTAACTAACTACTAACTAACTACTAACTAACTAACTACCTAACTAACTAACTAACTAACTAACTAACTAACTACTACTAACTAACTACTAACTAACTAACTAACTAACTAACTAACTAACTAACTTAACTAACTAACTAACTACTACTAACTAACTACTAACTACTACTAACTAACTAACTAACTAACTACAACTACCTAACTAACTAACTACTAACTAACTAACTAACTAACTAACTACTAACTAACTAACTACTACTAACTAACTAACTAACTAACTACTAACTAACTAACTAACTAACTAACTAACTAACTAACTAAAAAAAAAAACAAAAAATAACTAACTACTAACTAACTAACTAACTACTAACTAACTAACTAACTAACTAACTAACTAACTAACTAACTAACTAACTAACTACTAACTAACTAACTAACTAACTAACTAACTAACTAACTAACTAACGAACTAACTAACTACTAACTAACTAACTAACTAACTAACTAACTACTAACTAACTAACTAACTAACTAACTAACTAACTAACTAACTACTAACTAACTAACTAACTAACTAACTAACTAACTACTAACTAACTAAACTAACTAACTAACTAACTACTAACTATACTACTAACTAACTAACTAACTAACTAACGACTAACTAACTAACTAACTAACTAACTAACTAACTAACTAACTAACTAACTACTAACTAATAACTAACTAACTAACTAACTAACTAACTAACTAACTAACTAAACTAACTAACTAACTAACTAACTAACTAACTACTAACTAACGAACTAACTAACTACACTAACTACTAACTAACTACTAACTAACTAACTAACTAACTAACAACTAACTAACTAACTAACTAAAACTAACTAACTATACTAACTAACTAACTAACTAACTAACTACTAACTAACACTAACTAACTAACTAACTAACTCAGTTTTTTTTCTATAAACAGTATTCTCCATCGATCAAATTCCGTATAATAGTTTATTTTCTATATGTAACTTTCAGTATAACAGTTTTTGTTAATAAAATATTTCTTTACAACAGTTACATTACTTTTTTATGTATAACAGTTTTTTCTACATTACTTTCTATGACCATAGAACATATAATGTATAACAGTTATTTTCTACATGCCTTTCTATACAACAGTTTTTTCTAAAGATATCTTTCTTTTTTATGAATAATATCTCATCGAGTAAATTCCGAATAAAATCTGAATAACGATTTTTTATATTTTATGTATAACAGATTTGTTCAATAAAACATTTCTATATAACAGTTTTACTATAGAAAATTATCTGTATAAAAGTTTTTTTTTATAGATAATATTTTGTATAATTGTTTTTTCTATTTTGTGTATAAAATTTTTTTAATAAAAACTTTCTGCATAATTGTTTTTTTTGATTTGTCAAAAATATTATTTTTTTCTAAATTCTGTATAACAGATTAGAAAAAACTTAATAACGGTTTTTTTGTATAACACTTTTCTTTGTTAAAAGCTTTAAGCATAACAAATATAAAAAGTTTTCTGTATAAAAGTTGTCATCTATAAAAATACATTCTGTATAACAGTTTTTTATAGAAAGTTCTCAGTTTATCTTTAGCAAATTTTGTTTATGACAGTTTTCTATTCATACATTTTCATTAGAAACGTTATTTCTATTGAAAAAGTTTGTCTATAACACTTGCACCTGATCATCCTCTATCTTCTCTTTCGCTCCCACTCACCTGATTAACTTCACCATAATCGTAATCATCATGACGTATACCATAAATACATTGAATATAATTCCAAATGGCACGACGAAACTTAGATGTATCAACATTTTTAACACCAGCCATCGTGAAATATGTCAAATTATAAGCACAACGGAATTTCTGATCCAATAAAGTGCCAACATCTTCATATAAACTAAATCACAAAACAAACGTAAACAATTTTCCGATTAATCCTCTAATTCACTTCAACCCTGAAAAAATGAAACTTACCCATTAACTAAAGAATAACCATGATCATCCCACGAATAGTCTTGTATACGAAATGTATTTGGTATATTTTCAGCACCACGTCGAGCGAAGTCTTGATACGTAAAATTGGGATCTTCTATATAGTGAGAAATAACTGGTGGTATTTCCGCGGGTGCAACAGTGGATGCGGCAGGCAATTCAGCTGTTTGCATTTCAACATTTTTAAAACGATTACTAAGTTCGGCTTCACTGCATTCGTCTTGTTTTGGGAAAGAACTTTCATGCGTTCCATTAAAGCTTCAACGGTAACACTGGGTTGAGCTGGAAATAGGGAACAAAAAAATAATTCAATTCGTTATTGATAAGAAGTAATTGAATTGCCTCAGTACTTCGTCTACAAGTTTTAAGTTAATTTATTGTTTTTCTTATTTATTCTGAATATTTCTGCCAATCTGACTATAGTACTTAAGAAACATAATCACATTCTTTCTATTTTAAGAATTTACCATTTAATTTATTTACACCATTGACAGCATTTGCTGCTGCTGCATCACCTGTAAGAGGCATGCCAACAGCACCACCTCCACTACTGTGCGATACAGTAGCTGCAGCGGCAGCTACTGCAGCATTATTATTGCAATACACTTGATGATTATGATGATCCGTTGAATTATTGTTGTTGTTATTGTTTAATGTTATTTCACTTAATACAGTCTTTTGTGGTTGTTGTTGTTGCTGTTGCAGTGGCTGCTGTGCTGATAAATTTTCCACAGCCACAAATGGCTGCTGTTGTTGCATTGCTGCTGTGCCAGTGGGTGTTTGTGGGGCTGTTAATGTTGCGGGTGGTGTTTTCAATTTGGGACTAGATAAACCATCAAGTTTTTGTGTCAAACCGCAGGAGAACACAAATGATGATAAAGAATGAAAATGCGATAAAAGTACCATGGCATGTACAACTTCCGATAGAGACCAACTGTTTTTGCCTCTCGTAAGACTCTAGAATAAAAAGATAAAAATAGTTTTTAATGAAATGAATTTAATGAATTGGCTTTTTGGCGAATAATGAATTAAAAATCCTAAATTTAAAAATATTTACCAGAGAAATTTTTATGTATAATCGTTTTATATAGGAAAATTTTTGTTAACCAGACTATAGACTAGACAAGTCTATAATCTATAGTCTAGTCTGTAATCTAGTCTATAGTTTAGTCTATAGTCTAGTCTATAGTCTAGTCTATAGTCTAGTCTATAGTCTAGTCTATAGTCTAGTCTATAGTCTAGTCTATAGTCTAGTCTATAGTCTAGTCTATAGTCTAGTCTATAGTCTAGTCTATAGTCTAGTCTATAGTCTAGTCTATAGTCTAGTCTATAGTCTAGTCTATAGTCTAGTCTATAGTCTAGTCTATAGTCTAGTCTATAGTCTAGTCTATAGTCTAGTCTATAGTCTAGTCTATAGTCTAGTCTATAGTCTAGTCTATAGTCTAGTCTATAGTCTAGTCTATAGTCTAGTCTATAGTCTAGTCTATAGTCTAGTCTAGTCTAGTCTATAGTCTAGTCTATAGTCTAGTCTATAGTCTAGTCTATAGTCTAGTCTATAGTCTAGTCTATAGTCTAGTCTATAGTCTAGTCTATAGTCTAGTCTATAGTCTAGTCTATAGTCCAGTCTATAGTCTAGTCTATAGTCTAGTCTATAGTCTAGTCTATAGTCTAGTCTATAGTCTAGTCTATAGTCTAGTCTATAGTCTAGTCTATAGTCTAGTCTATAGTCTAGTCTATAGTCTAGTCTATAGTCTAGTCTATAGTCTAGTCTATAGTCTAGTCTATAGTCTAGTCTATAGTCTAGTCTATAGTCTAGTCTATAGTCTAGTCTATAGTCTAGTCTATAGTCTAGTCTATAGTCTAGTCTATAGTCTAGTCTATAGTCTAGTCTAAAGTCTAGTCTATAGTCTAGTCTATAGTCTAGTCTATAGTCTAGTCTATAGTCTAGTCTATAGTCTAGTCTATAGTCTAGTCTATAGTCTATTCTATAGTCTATTCTATAGTCTAGTCTATAGTCTAGTCTATAGTCTAGTCTATAGTCTAGTCTATAGTCTAGTCTATAGTCTAGTCTATAGTCTAGTCTATAGTCTAGTCTATAGTCTAGTCTATAGTCTAGTCTATAGTCTAGTCTATAGTCTAGTCTATAGTCTAGTCTATAGTCTAGTCTATAGTCTAGTCTATAGTCTAGTCTATAGTCTAGTCTATAGTCTAGTCTATAGTCTAGTCTATAGTCTAGTCTATAGTCTAGTCATAGTCAGTCTATAGTCTAGTCTATAGTCTAGTCTATAGTCTAGTCTATAGTCTAGTCTATAGTCTAGTCTATAGTCTAGTCTATAGTCTAGTCTATAGTCTAGTCTATAGTCTAGTCTATAGTCTAGTCTATAGTCTAGTCTATAGTCTAGTCTATAGTCTAGTCTATAGTCTAGTCTAGTCTATAGTCTAGTCTATAGTCTAGTCTATAGTCTAGTCTATAGTCTAGTCTATAGTCTAGTCTATAGTCTAGTCTATAGTCTAGTCTATAGTCTAGTCTATAGTCTAGTCTATAGTCTAGTCTAGTCTAGTCTATAGTCTAGTCTATAGTCTAGTCTATAGTCTAGTCTATAGTCTAGTCTATAGTCTAGTTCTATAGTCTAGTCTATAGTCTAGTCTATAGTCTAGTCTATAGTTCGTTATAGTCTAGTCTAAGTCTAGTCTATAGTCTAGTCTAGTCTATAGTCTAGTCTAGTCTATAGTCTAGTCTAGTCTATAGTCTAGTCTAGTCTATAGTCTAGTCTATAGTCTAGTCTATAGTCTAGTCTATAGTCTAGTCTATAGTCTAGTCTATAGTCTAGTCTATAGTCTAGTCTATAGTCTAGTCTATAGTCTAGTCTATAGTCTAGTCTATAGTCTAGTCTATAGTCTAGTCTATAGTCTAGTCTATAGTCTAGTCTAGTTCTATGTCTAGTCTATAGTCTAGCTATAGTTCTCGTTCTAGTCCTATTCATTAGTCTTAGTCTATAGTCTAAGTCTCTAGTTCATAGTCTATCGTCTAGTCATAGTTAGTCTATAGTTATTCTATAGTCTAGTTCTAGTCTAGTCTAGTTTAGTCTTAGTCTAGTCTAGTCCTAGTCTTAAGTCTTAGTAATAGTCTATCGTCTGTTATAGGTCTAGTCTATAGTCTTAGTCTATAGACTCTTTCTATAGTCTAGTCTATAGTTTCCGTCTATCGTCCTAGTCTATAGTCTAGTCTATAAGTCTAGTCTATAGTCTAGTCTATAGTTCTAGTCTATAGTCTTAGTCTATAGTCTAGTCTCTAGTCTAGTCTATCAGTCTAGTCCTATAAGTCTAGTCTATATTCTCGTCTATAGGTCTAGTCTATAGTTCTCGTCTATAGTCTAGCTTCTAGTTAGTTATCGTCTCGTCTATAGTCTCGTCTATAGTCTAGTCTATAGTCTAGTCTATAGTCTCGTCTATAGTCTAGTCTATAGTTTTCTTAGTCTATATAGTCTATGTCTATAGTCTAGTCTATAGTCCTAGTCTATAGTCTAGTCTATAGTCTAGTCTATAGTCTAGTCTATAGTCTAGTCTATAGTCTAGTCTATAGTCTAGTCTATAGTCTAGTCTATAGTCTAGTCTATAGTCTAGTCTATAGTCTAGTCTATAGTCTAGTCTATAGTCTAGTCTATAGTCTAGTCTATAGTCAAGTCTATAGTCTAGTCTATAGTCTAGTCTAGTCTAGTCTATAGTCTAGTCTATAGTCTAGTCTATAGTCTAGTCTATAGTCTAGTCTATAGTCTAGTCTATAGTCTAGTCTATAGTCTAGTCTATAGTCGAGTCTATAGTCTAGTCTATAGTCTAGTCTATAGTCTAGTCTATAGTCTAGTCTATAGTCTAGTCTATAGTCTAGTCTATAGTCTAGTCTATAGTCTAGTCTATAGTCTAGTCTATAGTCTAGTCTATAGTCTAGTCTATAGTCTAGTCTATAGTCTAGTCTATAGTCTAGTCTATAGTCTAGTCTATAGTCTAGTCTATAGTCTAGTCTATAGTCTAGTCTATAGTCTAGTCTATAGTCTAGTCTATAGTCTAGTCTATAGTCTAGTCTATAGTCTAGTCTATAGTCTAGTCTATAGTCTAGTCTATAGTCTAGTCTATAGTCTAGTCTATAGTCTAGTCTATAGTCTAGTCTATAGTCTAGTCTATAGTCTAGTCTATAGTCTAGTCTATAGTCTAGTCTATAGTCTAGTCTATAGTCTAGTCTATAGTCTAGTCTATAGTCTAGTCTATAGTCTAGTCTATAGTCTAGTCTATAGTCTAGTCTATAGTCTAGTCTATAGTCTAGTCTATAGTCTAGTCTATAGTCTAGTCTATAGTCTAGTCTATAGTCTAGTCTATAGTCTAGTCTATAGTCTAGTTATAGTCTAGTCTATAGTCTAGTCTATAGTCTAGTCTATAGTCTAGTCTATAGTCTAGTCTATAGTCTAGTCTATAGTCTAGTCTATAGTCTAGTCTATAGTCTAGTCTATAGTCTAGTCTATAGTCTAGTCTATAGTCTAGTCTATATAGTAGTCTATAGCCTAGTCTATAGTCTAGTCTATAGTCTAGTCTATAGTCTATTCTATAGTCTTATCTATAGTCTAGTCAATATTCTAGTCTTTAGTATAGTTTATAGTCTATATTCTAGTCTATAGTCTAGAGTCACTGCATTATAAACTAATGCAGGAAATTTATATAAAAAATTTTCTCAGTAAAATTATTTTATCATTTTACTCACCTCTATATGTTCCTTACGCAACAGCCACGGACGATGGGCTAAAATTTTATTGATTTCATATATGGCACGTAATTTGGGCGGTATAAAATCGAGACCATTTAACCATTCTGGATTACCACCTTGATTTATAAATTCTTTTTCATACATTTTCACCAAATAGGGACATTGATGGCGGGCTGCAGCCTATAAAATAAACAAAAAAAATAAAACGACATAAATTAATCTTCTACTCGTGTTATTATAAATTTGATTATAAATACCAAATACAAAAAACCAACAATTTAATGTTAAAAACCTTGAGAAAATAATTGTAATTGTAATAAATGTTGATCAACATAATGCTCATCATCATTTAGGAATGCAAATGACCTAAAGATGCCATGACTGAAGATGATGAAAAAAATATATATAAAAATCGTACAAAACAAGACAACAAATCGTAAACACATAATGATGCCAACTTTTAATTTCTTTGGGTTTTTTTGGTCTTCTGAAATATTTTTTCTTAATTTTTTTTTATTTTTTATTTGTTGCATGTGATAAAGAAAATAATAGAATCTTTGACTCATTTACGCAATTAAATAATGTGTAAATTACATGATAATTTATGAGCATAGAGGCTCATTATTATACGAGAACGAGAACATTGCTCTGATGATTATGATTCTTTTATTTAGCTGGGTCTTTGGTTGGCTGAATAAAATATCAGAAAAATATATTGTAATGTTTTATAGAAAAGTATACCAAATTTATTATTTAGTACAGTGATTCATAGAAATAAATATACATTTTAAAAATCTCTTTCAATTAGACCCAAAGTTTTTCAGAAAAAACAAGGTTTGTTTCCAAAAATTATTGTATATCTGACCTCACCGATTAAACGTTCTCAATCATACAATTTTGAACTTACAATTGTGAAGAATTTAATTATGTGTATAACTGTACTGAATTCATATTATACGATAACATTACTTGAGAAAATTGTATTTTTTTTACTATTTATTGCTACTTCCCAACAAAAATTCAGTATTTTCCGGGAAATGAAATTTCAGATATGAAATGATCGTCAATGGTATGAAGCTGAGATTTTGACAAAATTTAAATTTATTGTAATTCAATCACAGCGTCAGTTACGACGTAGCATTCTCAAGCCAGTTATGAGTGTTAAAGTAGTTTTCTGAAGTGATCCTTATATAGCGGGTAGGATCAATTATGCCCCAATCCTCACATAATTTGGTGGAGACTAAACACTAGGCTATTGACTAAACTTAAGGCTAAACTATAGACTAAACTATAAACTAGACTATAGACTAGACTGTAGATAGGACTATAGACTTAACTATAGACTAGACTATAGACTAGACTATAAACAAGACTATAGACTAGACTATAAACAAGAATATAGACTAGGACTATAGACCAGACTATAGACTAGACTATAGACTAGACTATAGACTAGACTATAGACTAGACTATAGACTAGACTATAGACTAGACTATAGACTAGACTATAGACTAGACTATAGACTAGACTATAGACTATAACTATAGACTAGATACTATAGACTAGACTATAGACTAGACTATAGACTAGACTATAGACTAGACTATAGACTAGACTATAGACTAGACTATAGACTAGACTATAGACTAGACTATAGACTAGACTATAGACTAGACTATAGACTAGACTATAGACTAGACTATAGACTAGACTATAGACTAGACTATAGACTAGACTATAGACTAGACTATAGACTAGACTATAGACTAGACTATAGACTAGACTATAGACTAGACTATAGACTAGACTATAGACTAGACTATAGGACTAGACTATAGACTAGGACTATAGGACTAGACTATAGACTAGACTATAGACTAGACTATAGACTATAGACTAGACTATAGACTAGACTATAGAGCTAGACTATAGACTAGACTATAGACTAGACTATAGACTAGACTATAGGACTAGACTATAGACTAGACTATAGACTAGACTATAGACTAGACTATAGACTAGACTATAGACTAGGACTATAGACTAGACTATAGACTAGACTATAGACTAGACTATAGACAGACTATAGACTAGACTATAGACTAGACTATAGACTAGACTATATGACTAGACTATAGACTAGACTATAGCTACTAGGACTATAGACTAACTATAGACTAGACTATAGACTAGACTATAGACTAGACTATAAGGACTAGACTTTAGACTAGACTATAGACAGACTATAGACTAGACTATAGACTAGACAATAGACTAGACTATAGACTAGACAATAGACTATACTATTGACTCTAGACCTATACATTATGGAAAAATACCAGTGACACTTGCTGCTTACTGCTTGATTTCTTTATTACTTTCAATATTTACAATTTTTCATTAAATAAGGAAATATTACAAATAATAAAGAGTAGATGGTATTTATGTGTGTCTAAAATGGCAACCGTACAGAAATTTAAAAAACTAAAGTAAATAATTTATAAATTTACATAATATAAAAATAAAATTTACATAATGAGAATTTACTACATCTTAGTAGAGAATTAGATTTATTAAATATTAACTATTAATTTACATAATGTCAATTAAAACTAACATTATGTAAATTAATTATTAACATTATGTAAATCTAATTATTTAATTAACAGTTATTGATTTAAAAAATATTCAGAATTTGTTATAATCTCTCCTGAGTTTAGACAATAATTTTGCGGCAATCGTTTAAATCCATATTCTGGCTATTAATTACATTTGGTTCCATGGTTTTGCAAAAAGTCGAACTAAATATTTGCGAAAATTTAGAGGAATTATCTTCATTCGATTTAACTTGCGGCAAAGTAGACAAAAGTATACGATGATAATTTTCTATAATTTTTGCAGCTACATCAGCAGTACCCTGTTCACTATATGTTATGGGTTCTTGTATAAAGTCTTTTATTTGCTTAGGACTCAAAACCCGATTCTTGGGTAAACGTGATAATTTCCAAGCCACATAGGTCACAACATCTGCTTGCTCGGTATCGATTAAAAATATAGTATTTGGACTATATTTCACCAGATTTGGTATAAGATTCTTCATAACATTAGTATATTGTTCTAAAGTATCTTTAATTGTGGTAGCTTTGGCAGTTTCCTTGCGATTTTGTATATCTTTAGTTAAAATGATCAAATCCGAATTACTTGTATCCTGAAAGTGTTTGGTGGCCTTTATGTGAGGACTACAGGAGAGCAACAAATTTGTTTTGGTATTCTCTTTGTTTGCCTGTAAATCCATTATACAAATCTGTTGACAAAGTTCACGATCTAAGCAATTTTTCGCCATTGGTAGACTAGTTTTCTCAGAGCCCACAATGGTGATTTTCTTATTACAGCTGGCTCTTAGCGGCTGTTCGTAGCGAAAAAAGCTTTGAGCTATCGAGCTTTTAAGTTCACCAATGGTATTTTTCAAAGCGGCATTCTTGGTCCTTGTTAAGGTGGTCAGTAATTGTTGGTGGGTCACCTGATATAAAGCCGAGGTCTTACGAAACATTTTTGATAAATTTTCTTTAAAAATATGAATGAAAATAAAAAATGAAAAAAGGGCGAGAAGACAAAGCGCGAAAAAGAGGGAGACGAGGGGTGGGGGAGAAGGGGCAAGAAGGAAAAAAGGGGAGGAGGGGGAGGAGGGAAAGGGGAGGGGCGAAAAAGGGGGGAGAAAGGGGACCCAGCCGAAGGGGCCAGAGGGGAAGGACAAGGGGGGAAGCAACGGAGGGAAGCGAACGAACGAACGAAACGAACGAACGAACGAACGAACGAACGAACGAACGAACGAACGAACGACGAACGAAACGAACGAACGAACGAACGAACGAACGAACGAACGAACGAACGAACGAACGAACGAACGAACGAACGAACTAACGAACGAACGAACGAACGAACGAACGAACGAAACGAACGAACGAACGAACGAACGAAACGAACGAACGAACGAACGAACGAAAACGAACGAACGAAACGAACGAACGAACGAACGAACGAAACGAACGAACGAACGAACGAACGAAAGAACGAACGAACGAACGAACGAACGAACGAACGAACTAACGAACGA